GAATCATTAACGTAAATAGCATTCAAATGAGCCATACAAATAATGTACTTGAAAACTGCATAAATAAAGGCTCTTCTGCCATGTAGGTACATAAAAATGATATTTACATTTCTAACGAATATAAGTTAATCATTAAATCGAAAATGCAAATTATTAATAATGAATATGTTACATAACTGTCTTGAACTGATTGATCTCATTATTTTATGACCCGGGGTTAATATAAACATTAGATAACATGCCGTACAAGTATACAACCAGTACAATCAACGACAAGATATTATGTCTCACACACTAGGGTAAAGAATTTTGAGTCAAAAGATAAGTACGACCTGTAACTAGTAGAATCATTCCACTAACTAAAGTGCAGAATTGAAAGAAAAGTATTTCTTGTATCATTACTTAATGAAAACATAAATACGATTGAAAAAAAAGAAGAATATAATTCATTACGTGGTCAAGTTCATTTCCATTTGAAAGCTAGGCCTTATAGATATAAAAAATACTTATATTCTGGGGTTCTTTGTGTGTGTTTTTCATTGTTTTCACTATGGATTGTTGGAGATATCATACCTTATGTCAATATTTCAACTAAACATGTTTTAAAAGCAGCAAATACTGTATCTTAGAAATCCTTTTTATCAAATGGAATTATATAAAAATAAAATTATTTTCAGTCTTCATGTGCAATTGGCGTGAATTATTCTCAGTGACACGAAAAGTTCATCGACATGCAAGTTTTTTGATGTGACACTCTCCTGACGTTTACTTCCGACAAAAAACAATCCTACGAGTATAAAATATCCCATCCCTGGCCATATCTCGCTAGTGTTACTCACAAATTATTTACGTCAAGATCTCTATACGATTTTCTTGAATATGTCATGATATGAAATTATGAAATATACGAAAGATAAATGTTACAATTTTTAGCTAATTTGATGGAACATCTAATAAAAGACACCACAGTGTACGTGACAGTTGTTTCATATGTGGGTGTTTTATAGAAAGACAGACTGCAAACTGACTTTACTCTCTATTGTCATTCTTCTGTATTTATGTAGTGTACCATTTTCACCTGCATATGAGTTTTTTTCTCCTAATCTATGCAAAAAAATGATGAAGGTTTTTGACGAAAAAGTTCATAATGCAAGGATATCAATAATCTTTTTTACAATCAACATTACGCAAATAGTTTCACGGTCGATGCAATGACCTTGTCTGCAAACACATTCTGCCGTTGGGTGGATGTTGTCTGATTCTTTCAAACAAATTGTTTATTCATAATTTTTAATTGACTGTGTACTTTTTCTGTTCACGCGATTCTGACAAAGGACACATTGGACTTTACTGATCATCAAGTCACCTGATCAAACCTCTATTTTCAGTGATCCATGTTAGCTTTATTAAATAAATTTCGCGACAGATTGTATTTACAAACAAGACTTCATGAGGACTTTGGAGATCGAATATAGTTATGTAGAAACAGTTCTAGGTTTACCGATTGTAAACTTACTTTTAGTGAAAATAAACTTTACAAATAAGTCGTTAACTTTTACGTGCATTCTGTGATCATGAATACATGTACCATGTAGGTGATGGAATGAGAAATTTATGTTAAAAAGTATACGTGACATGCATTCATAATTAGCTAAAGTCTTAACTTGTGATCTGTTACATGTTGATATGTGTGTGAAGCGTGAAGCTTTCTTGGAAGGGTTTTTCACTGGAACTCTTTTCCTGGGCTTTAAAACATTGGTTGTAGACGTTAATTATAATATAAGACAGAAAATGTTTCACTTTCTATTACATGTTGTTAAATTAAAACATGGTTTACTATTCTAGTGTATACAATGTAGTTGTAACATTGGCCAATATGAGAAAACTATTGAATCCTTACACAAACAATCAAACACATCAACTCAAGAATATAATAAGTATTTTCTCTGTGCAATTTACGGTACTTTGGGGTCAGCTCCTCAAACTGTACACTGTAAAAAAAATAACTAGTTAATGTCACGAAGAAAACTAGTAGATTCACTGTCCATACAATCACTACCTTAATAGTAGTTTTACCAGATATTGGTATATTTACTAGATAAAGATTAGTAAATTTAGAATTGATGAGTAACTTTCACTAGGTATCTAAGTATCTATACGACCCCCGCTCCACAACTCACTATCTTAACCAGTATACTGACCAACGCTTTACGAAACACACTAGTTAAATTCACTAGGTTTTTCTTTCAGTGTAGACTAAACGAATATATCATTTGACTACATAACTATGTATATATATGAAGGAATATGAATCTAAACACTTAAAAGGTTTACTTGTCACTTTTTATTACCTCTTTATTACTTTCTTGAGATTACTCAATTTTTTTTCTAATAATACGATTTGCAAACGGATGAAACAGTGAAATGTGTTATACAAATTTGTAAAACAATACCCGGTCAGTCAAAAGATGCATAAAAAGATGGTAACCTCCTCGATCTCCAAAAAAATATTAATTTTAACTTCATTCTGCTTATTATGAGGGTTGTTCGAAAAGTTCGTGGACGATGTCAATCTTCGTTATATTACTCACTAGAAAGGATAACATATGACGTCAAATAAAAAGATATGACAGAAATCCACGAACTTTTCGAACAACCCTTGTACATGTAGTTTTATGAATTCGAATAATTACTTGGAAATAGACAGAGGTTTTCATCGGGATTTTTTTTGTATCGAGAAATAACTGGAAAAAGCCAGTTTGACATAGTTTGAAATTAGTCATTCCTATTATTTCAAGCATAAAATGAATTACAAATCAAATAATTGAACAAACTTGTTTAATTAAGCAAAATATTCTCCTGGATTGATTCCGTAAAACACGAATAAATCAAGTTGTAGTGTTATGTAAAATCCTCAGATTAGAGGGTTTCTTTGTGCTACATTTGTAAGTATTTCGGACAAAAAAAGAAATAAATGATGCTTTCTTATACCGTGAGTACTAGTCTTTAATTGCATGTAGATATAAAAGCAATTCAGAGAGAAAAGAATATAGTCAATGCTACAAATTTCGGTTTCCCCCTGAAGAATATGTTGCTCTAGAGAAAATTCAGAGAGTAAGCCCTACGTTAGTAATTGTTTCAGTCAAATTTTCATATTGTACCATTAATTGTTGACTCTTTTTCCATAATACATCTTATCCAGAAACGCCTGTAAAAGGAATAATTTACCTAGGCTCGTGCATCATCATATATTTTGGGATATGATGCAGTATGACAATGAAAATGTGTTTGAAAAACTCAACAGATAAAAATTAAAAATGTCAGCAAAAAACAAAACAAAAAACATAATTGACTACATATGCATGTACATGTGCGCATAATTATGCTGGTCATGTAGAAATAAAAATTGTGATTCCTGACTTTGTGGTTTGTTCTGCAATACATATCGTGTAGAACCTGAAGCAATTCACGACTGATATACTTGTTCTTTGTCAAAGTACGCGTGTTTTAACATGGAGTAGTCCAATATATGTCATGTATATATCTGCATGAGCATTGTACGAGTGACCTAGCTCTGTCATAAGTTTTAAAGTTTTAACATGTCAAATAAAGATGAATTTCAAATTACAAGTCTAGGACCATCTGCAATAAGAGAACGTCAATCTAGTCAGACAATAAACTCCTCTGTCGTTCAAATACAAGTTTAATTACATTATATAAACATCATATAATAGTCTACTAAAGAGCTATTTTAATATCGTACGTGTGCATTTAGCAGGCTTATTACCGGCCGCCAGGAGGCGGTCGGTTATATGATATGAAAGTTTTAAGTCGCCGTGCGTTTCTGCGGAGTTGGAACAATTTGAATAAAAAATATTTAACATTCATGTAATAGAATATTAAGAAAGATTTTTTAAATGTTAAACAAAATCGCACAATAATCATAAAATTAAAATTTTATAAGTAATGAGTTAAATGTTTCAACCAATCCTGATTGACAAACTCCGACGTAACTGAAGTGCGGAGAAATAAGCACACATGTTGGGCATAGTCCAAAGCAAGGGCCGCGTTATATACATGTATAAACAAATTGACTTTCTCTACTTGAACAGGATTTGTTGTATAAATAATTTAAAATGACGTGTAAATATAAATATACAATGTACTTTTAATACGGAAAGTTTTCAAAAATATGACTTGATCTTAGTTTATTATCAAACAGAATATTAGGAGATTTTTCTCCAACAGACAAGAACAAATCGCGTTTTACAATATGCCAAGCCTTTTTCCCACCACATCTCACACCAAAACAAGAGAGAGAAAAAATGTAGTGGCGGATCTAGAGGGAAGTTGGGGGTTTCAACATCCTCTGAGCGAGCGAGGAGCCCCACGTAGTTGTTACGTTTTATTTAAAGTTAAACTATCTCTTGTTAGATAAGTTTAAACCTTAGTTTTGATGGTTAAGTGTTAAAACTACTTAAACATCAAACTTCCGCCAGAGTTCGTTTGTACAAATGAAACTGAGTGCGGGGACGCAGAGGACTACGAGTAAGTTGCTTAAATACATTGTACATGTAGCAATGTACAGGTATTATGTACTGAAGAAAACCCTGGAATATTGCATGCAAATGTTTAATGTCATAGGGATATATATTAACAGATAAATATAAGAATTTAGTTTCTAACTGTATTATGAAAGAATTAATTAATTGGTTTGCGGCCGATTTTTGACGCTTGCGTCAATATGTTTCTTGTTGTTAACTTAGCCGTATAATTAAGACATTTCGTGTATGATATCATTTTTCATACCATGTTTTTGTTATGTAACGTTTAACTGGGATTTGGGATAAAGGAATTTCTCTGTCAATGATATTTTGCCCCTTATATAAATCTGTTCTAAATCCATAATTTGATAACAGTTAAACTTTTCCTTTTGATACAAAATTTGTTGTACAATACACGATGAATTATAAAGAGACTGAACTAATGAAGAAACCTACCTTCTTCCGTGAGGGTATGGTCTGGGTGGGTCTTGATGACCGAGGCCTGTAAATAACGGGTTCTGTGGAGTACTCCCATGGCCACCACCGGATGGATGATAAGGGTAGGTCTCATGGTGAAAATGGCAGCAAATATAAAGGTCGACATCACAGCCATCACAAACATGTGCTTCCATTTTGTTTCAGCTGGCTTTGAATCTTTGGTCTTGAGCATCTTTTGTGTTTATTTTTTTTTTCTGCGGTTTTCAAAAAACTTCCATTAAATAAAAAACTTTATTATATCGGCAATTCTTAATCTCCATATTTTCTGTTGACCATATAAATATCAGTTCAACGTTATGGCAATAAAAATTAACCGTCCATTCTATCTAGCGGACACCAGAACAATGCCCACAGCTGATCACTAACTTGTCGCCGCTATATGAAGATTTTGACTGACAAGATTAATGCAAGAGAAGACAATACAAGGCATGCGATCTGGCGGTCTGACATAAATTCTGTAGGGAATGAGACTGTGTTCAATTCATAATAATGAGCACGTCGATGCTTCTAATTTCCTGTAATGACACTAAATGTTTTAAATGTTTTTGCTGATTATGTCTTATGTTGAATTTAATCAAGTGATTGGAATATTCATGAGTTACTAGTCATGCCATATACAATCATGTTATTAACCTGTCATAACATCTTTTCACGAATCTGTACTCTTAAATTCTATCAACTTAAAAGGTAGAGGACATATTTTGAAGAAAAAAAATTCTCGAGGACCCAATAAAAATGAAATTACATTATTAATTTTGACTTTCTAATTTATTCATTACGGTACATTTTCCATTAAAACAGATGAAATGCAATTAGAGATGGTGCGAGTTTGTACAGCCTTACGCTAAGAGATAATTACAATAATTACAGTGTATATTATATATTCGGCCTATCTAAGCATATAAGCTCTGGTCACAGTGGCGATCACGGACTTTCCCCGTTGTCACCTGGTGATAGGTTATTGATTTACAATAAATTGTCCGGTGGATTACCAGGTGAGAGAGGACCGTCAAACGAGACCCATAAAAATAATGCGCTGTGGTCATGGACCCAAGTTGACCCACTAAAGAGAATGGACGTGCCAGCAAGTTACAACCTCATGTCGAAAGTTCATACTCCTACTGTCGGAACTAAAGAAAATCTAAAATTTTGTGATATTTCATCATTGAATATTTACTTTTGTAGATTAATTGAAACGAAACCAGCATATGTTTTTCTAACATGACTCTCCGCCCTTAGTCAATATAATATACTTGAACTTAACATAATAATGTAATCAATAGGCTGTAATAATCAAAATAGGTGGTATGTATATCATAAATTATAGATGTCTATGGGTTTCACAACCCCTTGTATAATCTCACTGGACGAAGTTGAGTCAAAAGATGACAATTAATACCCGGTATAACTTTGAAATATGTAAGTCATAGCAGCAATAATTTATGGGCAAGGATTGAGTTTTTTGCCTACAAACATACTGATCAAATGTTCTATGCTACCGAGTCTTCGATTACTGGGGCCTTAAAAGCGCAAGATCACTGAATTCGTTGAATTTCAAAAATTTACATTTTAAAATTGGAAAACTTTGAAATGAAATGGTGATCAAACATTCGATCACTTAATTAAAATTGTGAAGATATTTTTTAACGAGCTATATTGTTCAGTTCCGATAGCTCACTTCCACTGAGGACCCTTACATGAAATATATGGAGATAAGGAACAGTATTCAAGCTCAAAAGTCCATTTATCAATACAATATAGGAGCAGAGCAATCACGGGCCTCCGAAACATCGGAGGTGGAATTAGGTGCCATGGAGGAGTAAGCACCACCTGCAGACAAGTCACATTCGCCGTGCGTGTGCTCCATGTCATGATTGGGAAATAACGGGGAAATGCGTCGTCAATTCAGTATGTAAATAATAGATTATCAATTAGTATGAAAAACGTCAGTCAGCATTTGACTCAATGATAAATTGTATTTGCTGACAAGGTCCTTGTATCGACCATAGAACTTACGAATTTAAGACTTTAAACGAGGCTGTTGATATTCTTGTTTCAACAACTTGTTTGTCAATAAATTACCTCGTTTTAGAAATTGTACATACGTAGAGCATGCTCATGCTTATCGAATCAACTGAGAGATATAAACTACGTATGCAGGTGATGAAGGTATATTGCTGCATATGGAAGTTGACGATAGATAAGTTAAAGTCATCACGTTTATCATAGAGCTCAACGAACACAAAGACGTATACCTATGGCGGCGTTAATAAGCTACACATTTTAACTGATCGACAGAACATTCAACAAACGTTTTAGTGGGGAAATATTGAGGGTTTAGCCAAAAAAATGTGAACATTTTCGCGGATTTAATTAAGACTTTCAATGAGAACTATCTGGGAAGAACTCTCAGTTTGATTACTAACTTTGCAAGTTTTCTTAGAGCATCGCTAAGAAACGGGACCTTATTTAAGTTTTTCATCAATTCTTCCTTCTCCTTGTTTTCTCCCTTTTATGAGTATAAGTATTAACTGTGTTTTATATTTATCTGTGCCAGAAAATCCTCAGTTTATGTTAACAACTTAGTTAAATTTTTTGGTCAATGATAATTATTGTGACATTAAATTGATTCTTTCCAAGAAATTACTTGCGAAAAAAAAAATCCGCAAAAATGTCTATAGAATTCATCCAGATAGTTCTGCCTAATGCCCTAAAAATGTTTTCAAAAACCCATTTACACTTTTTGTCCCCCGCTTTCGCAAAAGCGAGGGGACATTAAATCTCATTCGTCTGTCTGTCTGTCCGTCTGTCCGTCAGTCTGTTCGTCAGTCTGTCCGTCACAAAAACTTTAACCTTGCCCATAACTTTTGATTTAGTGGAGCTATGACTTTCATATTTCACATGTGTATTCCTTGTGACAAGACTTTTCTTTGGGTATCACCAAATTTAACCTTTTGACCTTGACCTTGGAGTTTGACCCACTTTTACACAAAAATTTCAAACTTTTACTTTGGCCATAACTTTTGAATAGTAAGTACTAGGACTTGCATATTTCACATATGTATTGTTTGTGACAAAACCTTTCATTGGATAACAACAACCTTGACCTTTTGACCTTGACCTTGGAGATTTACGTACTTATGAAAAAACTTTAACCTTGACCATAACTTTTGAACGGTGAGGACTAAGGCTTTCTTACTTCACATATGTAATTACTGTGAAAAGACCTTTCATTGGATACCAGTAACTTTTACCCTTTGACCTTGACCTTGGAGTTTTAATTACTTTTTAAAAAACTTTAACCTTGGTCACAACTTTTAAACAGTAGATAGTCGGACTTTTATATTTCACATATGTATTCCTTGTGGCAAGACATTTCATTGGATATCAACAACCTTGACCTTTTGACCTTGACCTTGGAGATTTACGTACTTATGAAAAATCTTTAACCTTGACCATAACTTTTGAACGGTGCGGGCTAGGGCTTTCGTACTTCACATATGTTTTCCTTTTGAGAAGACCTTTCATTGGATACCAAAAACTTTTACCCTTTGACCTTGACATTGGAGTTTTAACTACTTTTTAAAAAAACTTTAACTTTGGTCACAACTTTTGAACGGTAAATACTAGGACTATTATATTTCAAATATGTATTCTTTGTGGCAAGTCCTTTCATTGGATATCAACAACTTTGATCTTTTGACCTTGACCTTAAAGATTTACGTACTCATGAAAAAACTTTAACCTTGACCATAAATTTTGAACAGTAAGGGCTAGGGCTTTCATACTTCACATATGTAATCCTTGTGAGAAAAACTTTCATTGGATATCAACAATTTTGACCCTTTGATCTTGACCTTGGCGTTGACCTACTTTTAAAAAAACTTTTTATTTTGGCCATAGCTTTTTCACGGTCAGGATTAGGGTTTTCATCCGTAAAAAAAATCAACTTCAGTGTTACTTTCTAAATAAATGACATATGATAGGATGTTCATATTACACACAATATGTCATAAAAGATAACATCTCACCCACAAAGACACCGAAAGCGGGGGACCACAATTCTTTGAATTTGCTTGTTGAAATTCTACTAAAATTTTCTTCTCCAATCTAATGAACTTTTGGTTGATTCTTACATGACTTCAGTTATACATTTAGATAACTGACGAAGTGCATTCAATTTTCAACATTTTTTTAAGGTTTAGTACACATTTATTTAGACTGAATACCAAATGAAATTTTGATAAGTAAGTAAACATATCCTGAGAATTTATATTATCACACAGAAAGATACATATATGTTTTAGGACTTAGAAGCATGATGTGTAGGGAAGAGGTATTAGGTTTTAAGACCCAGGAAATGTAGCGGACTTCCGCAAATTGTTAACTGTGTATCTTATTTGAAGAAGAAAACTATTACAAAAATGTACTGCACTTTATTTTCATATCTACTTATACTAATTCTTCTTCAATTTAATGAAATTTATGGTAAGTACAACCTTACTACGCAAATCTGTTCTTATTTAGCTAAAAAGGATTTTTTTTAATTTGAGATCAATATTTTCAACATGAATGAAAGTTAATGTTACTACTATATTATTGTAATGTTATCATATTGTAAATTGACAAAAACCTTTTGTAAAAAGTTGTTAGTTTAAAAAATTAGGCATTTTGTCGATACGTACATTGTTTTATAATTTTAGCTTGTGGTCCCCTTCCGTCGGTGCCCTTTGTGGATACAAACCAGTCAACGTCCATTAAGTATGCCAACCCTGGAACTGTACTTCGTTTCAGGTGCAAAAATTCAACATCTTCGCCTGAACTTCAAGAGAAACTTGCAGTGACAATGGTCTGTCTCTCCAATCACACATGGGCGGTCCATGGGGCCTCGCGATGTGAACCTGGTAAAAAGAATTTTTTTTCAAGAAAGATGAAATTCAAGATTTGCTTCCAAATAAAAAAAAAAGCCTTTTAATGAACAGACTAAGAAATAGTAATAATAAGTACGAATTACTTACTATAGTGTATTTTTCTTACAGAGAAGTGTTATATTGCTTTTGCAATATTCCTGACGGCTTCGGTTATAGCAGTTTCAGCAACTCTGATTTACATCGCATCACTGACCATTATTTGGCGTAAGCTCCTCTGTTGCTTTTAATGAATTAAAAATATTAAATTGAAATAAAATAAACATTGGTAGAAACAATAAGATATACTCAAACTTCATGACAAGACATTTTGATTGTAAAAATTGACGTGATAATTAATGAAATTGAACATTTATTTTGACGATATAAAAAAGATCAAATGCAGGAATATGCTTACTATGATCAAGATATAGATTAGTGCGGATTTTCCTTGTCAGTGTTAAGTTTCATAATTTATTACCTTTTTAGTACAACGTCCTCACGTGTGTCGGGTCGGTGTCGACACGAAGAAATCTCAAAATCAATCGATGCGAATGAAACAATTCTGCCATCAATTTTGAATTACTTTCCACTAACTAAATTGCAGATTATTACACTTCGGATCCAGAATTTTTTTTCCTCTAAATATCTACCCAAGTCGCAAAAAAAATAAAACATAGAAATATATATCTTGGCAAAATAAAAAAAATATAAATTAAAAAAAAAAACGTGTAAACTGTTTTTCACCGACATAAAAAAATTATTGGTGGGGCGGGGCGGGGGTCTTCTACACTTCTCAAGTTCTTCCAATTAAATTAACTTCTAAGGGTTCGCGTTTTCTCGGAGGGTAGGGGTTCCAGAGACATTTTAATGCCCTGTGAAGGAAGATTTGTGAGTATATAATTTTTGCCTGTCCGCCGGCCTGCCCGTTTGTCTGTTCGTAAAAACTTTAACCTTATCCATAACTTTTGATTGATTGGAGCTACCTGCATCTTTGGCTTTCGTTATTTCACATATGTATAAGTTGTAACTAGACCTTTTTCTTTGAATTTGATATCAACATTGTATGTATTTATTATCATCATTATTATTAATTGATATTATTTCTTTGTTCATAAAAACAATTGTTTTGTTCATCTATGTACATGAATATAAATTATTGTAAAACTTTGTGAATGGTGTATGACTATTAAGATTGTATGCATGGGTGGGGACTATAAAAGTTTTTGGAAATCTGTTCAATCCCTTTGGGATATTGTCAATATGTCCAAAACAAAAATACTTTTTTTCTTTGGGTAAGAACAAATTTTAGATTTTGACCAAGGAGACCAAAGTTTAGTCCATATCTTAGAGGATTTTGTTTGTACGATGCACCAAAAATTTACGTCCATTCTTTCCAAGGAAACCTGTAATATTTCTTATGATGAAGTCTTTGTCTTTTTGTTGTAATAATTTATACACATTACATGTACTTTACAGTTGTGAACAGAAAAACAAGGTAAGTATGCTTAAGTACTTTCTGTTTACCTTTTTAGTATATTTCAAATCAACTAAAGATTCTCTTTTACTAAGGCTGAAATGTCTCATTTGATGAAATCTCGTTATCAAGAGATTATTGTCATTAATGAGGTGAAATGACTAGCTGCAATAATGTAGCCCTCTCCTTTTTTTTTTTTTTTTTTGGGGGGGGGGGGGGTCTTGGTTGATCCTCTTAGGCTCTACGTAATGGTGCAAGTGCGGGGGTGATTCACTCCCGCAAGGATTTCTGCTAAAATTATCATTAAACTTGTTTGTCAATAATTTACCTCGTTTTAAAGAATTGTTCATACGTAGAACATGTTCTTGTGTATCGAATCAACTGAGATATATAAACTTCGTATGCAGGTGATGAAGGTATATTGCTGCATTATATGTAAGGGAAGTTGACGATAGAAAAGTTATTAAAGCAATCATGTTTATCATAGAGCTTGGTTGTTAGATTTCCATTAACGTCTTTTCCACGTAAAATATCCAAGTATGAAACAGATGTGTCAGATTCTGTGGTACATGTATCTATAATCTCAAGCTCACCGGAATATATCGTATCGACATAGAGATGGAAATAACCGTTAATTGACAATACGTCGTCGATATATATATCTGAACGTGAAATTTGAAGTATTGGGTGCAATATTACTGCATGTTTTTTTTTCTTTTCAATTGGTATGTAAAGAATATCCATCATCATTTCATTTCATGTGACAAACATCAGAGAAAACCTTTTCGGCAAATTTACGAACGAATAAATAGCTTACTCTTTACTTGAGGGAAATGATTCGTACTTATAGCAAACAAAGAGTTTTCAGTGTTTTTTTTCACTTGATTTTTAGAAAACGGTGTTATGAATGCACGACCAGTCTCAATCTTAATACCATGCGTTAAATGATTTTTTTATCCACTTACAGATATCAACAATTAATCAAGGACGCTGATGACGAAATTTACAGAAAAGAACCATTGAAAACAAACATTTGAAGAAATTGTGAAGTCACAATAATCAATTGACTATATTAGTTTCTTTCCTAACAAATATTTAAATTCAATTATACCTTTTTAGTTAACCATTTATTTGTACACAGTATCCTAACAATCAATAAATCCAAAATAAATTTACAATTTTTCTTTATTTTCTTTTTCTTCAAAGCAAGAATAGGTCAGTGCCAAATTGATTATGATAAAAACTTTGTTGAATTCCAAGATTGTTTACATTGTGACAAAGCAGGTACACTTGTACTTGGCTAAGGCAAGATTTTTTTGTTTATTCATCTCGCCTGAAAACAAAAACATGACGACTTACGCCAGAAAAACACCGGGATATTTTTTAAACAGAAAACACAACATGCAAATTTAAAATTATCCACAAATAAACAATAAAGTACAGAATAGTAATCGTTTCACTAGCTTACTTACGTCACAAATTTGTGCACAATGTTTATTTTAAATTTCTAATATTGACCAAAAACTGTTATGAAACCGAGCGGTCTGTTAGACTATTTAAAATAAAGACATTCATTTGACACATAACAAATATTAGATATTAAATGATACGGCAAAATTGAGAAATTATGTGGAATGATTGCATTCTAGGAAAAACATTAGCATTTGATTTAAATTTGTAGTTTGTTTTGTGTGTGTATTTAAAGTTTTAGCAATAGATTTATCGCCGATAAATTGACAATATATGTATTTACAAAATAACTATGTATTTTTTTATTTCTATCTAGAAATACAACCCCACCTACCAACAATTGTGATAAACAATAACATTAAAAATAAAGAATTAACGAGTTACATAAGATCGTGCTTCCTCTTGTCAAGAATTGGTCCTGAATAAAATCACAGAACATCTGTTGGATTACATTTCATTTTGCAAAGCAGCTCACAATAAATCACGCCAAACTTTAATTTCGTACGTTTTCATATGACAATTATGCACAAGAGAATCAATGATACATGTAATTAAGAAAAATTGTGTCATTTTTTTTTTGCCTGTAGCAAATGCACTGCATCATTCGTAACTGGTCCTAATACATGTATTTTGAATCTCTCAACTTATCTTGATGAGAGGAAACACTATTTTTAGACCGTTTGAACAGTACAACTAAAGTAGCAGAGGAGTTGGTGTACCATGTCATTCTTACCATCTTCACTTAAACTAATAATTTAACCATTGGCATCTAACGTACAAATCCTCCTCCCCTTTGTAACACAATGAAAATATTAATAATTCAGGAAATCTTAGAATACGGTACATATAAATATTTTTTTTAAATACTGTATACATGTATATGCCAACTCTCATCTCTTATACTTGAGGTCTAACTACTTTTATCTTGTAGTCATCTACCATTAATATTTATATTCACAAATATCTTGCCATTTTTAAACTACATGTATTTTCAAAATGTCCCAAAAGATATATGTATGTCTCCATAAATTGTGATATCAACAATTCAAGGGGGGGGGGGCTGTTATCAAATAATACGATAGGGCACATAGTTATCTGATAAGTAAAGTAAAACACTGCATCTTGTAATATGAACAACCATAAATTTTCTTCTCCCAAAAGTTTTGCGGATTAAGTTGAAACTTGTCAATATGATCTGGAGCAGAGAGCACAGATAGTCAGATATACAGAGGAAGTGAATTAGTGATGAAAGACCAATGTCTTAATTTCAATCAAAATGCACACATAAGCCTTTGACACAGGTGAGTTAAAATTCATGGTTTACTTTGATAATGCATTGTAACTCAGTCTCTAAAAAGAACAATCAACAAGCCTTCAATGGTGTTCCAGACACATTTAGTATAAATTTATTGATATTGACAAATTTCAGTTATGATATATGAATGAATTTCTTAAATTTTATAGACCTCACATTAATTGTCTCTAACTATGAAAAAACTGAAAATCTCAATAAATCAACAATCTGTTCAGTTTAAAACTTTGCATTTCCTGTACATGTAACCATCTTTCAGAGGCAAATGATATTTCAGCAAAGTAAAGGCATAAAATATTGAGTTTGTCTGATAAAATATAATTCACAAACCATGTAGAATACCGGCTTTTAAATTGTTTCATTGCATTTTACTGTGTATCAATGTAAACATTAGCTGTCACAATCAGTGTATAGCTGTTGATTTCGTCTTTTTAATCTCTTTGATTGAGGACTTTCTTCACATTCTGTTCCTTCGTTTCTTTTTTGCGATGATTTATCAGTGTCCCCTTTACTTTCATCCTGTGTTGGTTTTGGACTAGATTCTTTGACACTCCCCTCTTGCTGTTTAAAAGATTTTTGCTCTCTGAGAATTTCTTCAAGTTCTTCATCACTGTTTGGCACAGCTAACTCGAGATGAGCTCCAGATTGCGAGGTTGAAGCTTGGAGTTTTTTCTGAGCAGCCATCATCTCTAAAAGTTCTGGATCAGCATCGTCAATATCAGATTCTGTCCCAACCAAACTCCTTGACATCAAGACTGTCTTCCTGTCAGAGAACACACTTTTCACAGGTGAAGATTTTTCATCCTCAGAACTTCTGAGTGATGTATTAAGTGATGAGCTCTCTGAGTCAATATTGACATGTTTTAAGGGTGACGCTAGCTTTTCATCTGATGAATCTGATTTTTGAGCTTCTTTTTGTGCTGACATGATTTCACTAAATTCATCTTCCTCATCAGAGATAGAAATTTCGTCTGGATTGAAGCTGGCATTCTGGTCATCAGTGGAGAGGTTCAGGCATCCTGATATGAAACTCTCATCTGCATTACTGGAGGATAAGAAACTTCTTTCACTGCCTGAAATTAAAAAAAAAATAATTAAAAATAAACTAAGGAAAATCAAACAAGAGTCCAAAACAGATGATATGATGATTTGCAAACTATTACTTATGAACACATTATAAACCAAACTAATCATACAAAGGCATACTGTTAAATTTATCATTGGTATGATAAAAAAAAAATCAGAAAGTTGTACATATATCAAAATTCAAACATCCGTCAAACATAATCACCAAAAAAGACATCACTGAGGCAACAAAAAAAATGATGTGTAGTTTCTAAGACAGTGCCACATTAGGTCAAACACTACTGTATTGATTAATTTTATTAACATCTGTAAAGGGGAATGACTCCTTTAGTTTTTTGTTTTTCCAAGTAAAAGTTAGTGTTTTCATAACATACACAGTATATATTTCTTCTTTGAAGTGGAATTAATTTTTTTATCAAAATGTTTGGAATAAATTTATTAAAAGTTGAGTATATATTATATTATAATATATTTCTTGATAATTCTGCCGGAATGTAAATAATAAATAATCTATAGAAAAAACTACTAAATGTTTTGTAGTGAATTTTAGCATATTGATGTTAAGAAAACGATAATTCATTTTATATGTTGTAATTTTCAAATTATTAAAGATTATAGAATAATAATGGAGAGAGGATATAAAACTAAATTGACAATGTATACGTTATTCTTTTGCAAGAAGTAATCTTTTAAATTGTTTATTCACGCTTGATTTGGTTTCTATTGATACAAATCTATTATTATGTGGTGATATTAATTTGCCTTTACAGATAAATAACACATGTAGTATTTTTGCTGATGTTCATAAATTCATTGATGAAACATGTAGATTCTCTAGTTGATATATTACATCATATTGTAATTGTTTTTTTTTCTCTTGTATCAATTGAATTATTTTTCTTCAATTTGCATGACAAGTTGTACTGTATAAAGATAGAAACTTAGTAAGTTGTACAGAACTTGTTTCCAATCCATTTGATTTACTCAATAAAATATGTTCAAAACAAAACACATCGTCAATAAAACATCCCCTGTATGTTAAATAAAATACTGTTACATGTATCAGCAAATTGAAATTTTCCAGAATATGCAATATCCCAAATTCAGGGACTTCAATTTTAAGACAAGAAAGTTAAAGGCAGAGATTTTAAGCACCGCCTTCAAAAATACCTGAAATTTTCCATCATTGGATGCTGGATGACAGTTACTTATCTCTGTGTATACCCTGTACACCTTGATTGGGACTCGTGGTGACCTTCTAATTAACTTTTGATCCTTTGATGTTTACTGAACATTGAACACAGTATACAGAATTACTGTATTACTGTGATTTTTTTTTTAGATTGGTAATATATGAATTAAAGATAATTACATTTAGTATTTGAAAGGATACTAATTTGATATGCATTTTTAAAACAAAAAAAATTAACGTTTGGTACATAAAACTTTTTTAAAATGAAATTTTGATATTATTTTTAATATGCTAAATGGTAAACCGAAAGGGAAAATGTTATTGATAAAGTTCAAAGCAGCACTGTATGAAGTAATTAGATTAAAATAATTTTTTAAATCATGGGTTACTTTCATTTTCCTTTTTTATTCAGATTGAAATGTAGTTCACACAGCTTTCTTTTCATTTGATTAATAGATGGGATCCTGGAGATGAATGAATTAAGTCTAATCTGGTTGTTACAAGAGTTGTTTTCTTTAACATAACACACACAATTACTGTGTATTATTGCCTATGAGATGTATGTCTCGACTTCAATAAACTGAACTGAAATTACATCTAAAACAATCTTTGTTTAAGTATTTGAATTTATAGTATGATATCATAATAACTTATTTTAATTGGGTAGGGGTGTTTTCAAACATTCAAAAATAAATCAATATATAATTGTAAAAAAACTTTTTACTAAATTTGAAAATAAAATCGCCAACACAGGTAAAGTTTGACATCTGGGTATTTCACTGTGTATTAAATCACTTCCTGTGTATAAGGATTAGGAGACAGATGACCACAGGTAGTTCACACCTGTACAAAATAATCCCTCACCTGCCACCCGGTAAAAAATCTCTGCCTTTAAAGCAATATGAGCTGTAACTTTGATGTCAGATTTTTTGTTGAAAAATTATAAACAACTATTTCAATTACTGAAAAAATAACATTGATAAACTTCTGTTGTTCATTTTTGTGATGGAAGGACTATTTATAAGCTTCAATTAAATAAAAATTACATTTTTGTTGTCCTGTACAATAATGCTTTCTTATTGTATATTGGATTGTAAAAAGAAGTCTTTCTTCTGCTTTATTTTAGACTAATTGATCATAAAGGTCTAAGTTACATACAAATTTATCATGATAACACATTTTAACAGCAAAATAAAATTTTCAAAAATGCAGCTCATATTGCTTTAAATTTATAGATGATAATGTTATTGTTCCTGATATTTTTTAGCTCAACAGGCCACAACTTTGTTAACAAGTTTTTTCATGAAACTTTCTAATTTAATAAATAAGATTTCATCTAAAATGGATGTCACAGTCAATCAGTCATTTTCATTGTATTATTCCAACATAATTTACTTTTCTGCATTCAAGCCATTAACTGGCTATGAGATAAAAAATTCCATGCTTTAATAATGCACCTATAAACTATATTATAGAGAATTATACCTGATACAGAAATGAAGCTTGGTTCTGACTCATATTCCGTGTCATCGTCTTCTACATCATCGCCCTCGTCATCCCCCTCTGTGGCCTCGCTCTCTGTCTCCCCCGCAGATTCCAGCACAGACAAAGTCTCCAACTTGATGTGGGAGTCTTTACCCAAAAACACTGCATTCGGATCTGTGTTCATTGAAATAATTTTTTTAAGAGAAATAATAGTGAGGGAAAGTTAATTCTTAATATTTGAGTTGTAAGATCAGATATCTTATAATAAGATTTATATGACACTTATTTGTTATAACACGTATTTGTTTCAAACTCCATAAAAAGACATTAAATGTAAATGTGGCTCATCATAAAAGAAAATGCTCAATGATTAATGACTAAAATGTGTGATGATTTCCAGTGTTCCCAAGTATCTGTCATGCAGAAAAATGGGGGGAAATCTTAATTTAAAAATTAAATTACAGACACATTAAATTGCATTGAAATCTTATTCACAGGATTGAACACTCTATTTTTTTCTGTTAAGTTCCTGGAACACTGAAAATTTAAACTTCAATATTAAAAAAGATATATTAAAGCCACTTGGTCCAATTCTAATCGCAAAAAAATATATTCGTTTTTCTTCTTGAAAAATAATTGTCCATAAATTGTTTCAACTTTTGTCAAATTATATCCCCAAAGTCTTTTTCTTTTAAAAGATATCAAAATTCAAAAGTTAAAAAAATAATTTTTGTTAGGTCACACAAAAAATAATCCTATGTTGATATCGCGTGAAATCACATTCGAAAAATTAAATTTATCGCTTACATTTCATGAAGAACAAACCCGAGCATTTTATTCACAACAAAGTACTTATACCTGCACAAGGAAAATATTTTAGCCTTAACTTCCTTTATTAAAAATCTGTAAAAAATATCTGATTTTCCTTTAAATATGCTTATTAATATAAAAATTACTATGGATTATGTTCAATTAATTTCTTAATTTTCGAAAGGTATATTATGACTTAGCCTTCTACCAATGGAAAAAATACTCGGGTTTGAATTATCTCCATAATTAGATATAGCCTATAAATTTATTTTTTTCAATCTTTTTTTCAAAGGTGACTTCACAACAGATCTTAACTTCCCATCAGGAACTTCTGTTTGTCAATAAAGTTTTTGATCTATGTTTTTCTTGTAAGGATTGTTGTAATAAACTATAAAAATCAATCTTATAATTTATTTTTATATATTATCTATGTAATGATGTACTTTTATCGTGTAAGATAAAATGTGCCTGTTTCGGATTACGCGGCTTTAAGGTTTATTTATATGCGTCAGAGATGCTTGCTATAAACCTGTAAGATCCAACATTGTACACAGTAGAGTTGTTTGGGGATTTGTAACAAGGGGAGGTGATTTCTTCTTTGGTTCATTTGGGTTATGGACAGGAGCTGTTTTCTCAAAATTTTCAGGAAGTGACAAATCCCCACCAAAGTCCTCTAGTATTTGATTGATATCTTCCTTTGTCACAGTGAAATCCCACCTAAAAGAGAAATACATTAAAAGATTTGTCTAAAGGATCTGGGTAAAGTCAGTAAAAAAGTGGTCATCCTCATTATCTTATGGAGATTGCAGAAATTGTGTTGACCCCTGCCTTAGAAAACATTCGTAATTCTCATATACATGTACATACTTTTATTCATTATAATATCTATTTCATTTTTGTTTCAAGTGAATGAAACCTGACAATATCTTATGCGTAAGTCCTAATCACTAAACAGACTTGTATATTAAATGGGGTAAAGTTCACTTGATGTCTGAGAACTTAAATAAGATTTTTTTTAAATTACCCACTTTTCATTGGAGCCTGGTCCAGGCATGTATCTGACCATCTTGGTAAGATTCAGTAGATGATTGGTTGATTTCAAAATGGCTAACCATTCAGGATCTAGCTCTATTTTCATTGGCTTTTCTACATCATGTGGTATGTCTAAAATCTACATGTACATACAACCATAAATTCACAAGAAATGAAAAATATATAATGCTTCGTCGAAGAAATGAAATTTTGAAATCTAATTCATAAACAAATAAGATAAAGATATAATTACTTTTTCCATAAATTTACAGTATATATCCATAATTTCAATAAGATGTCTAAGAAATCTTCTGCATATTTTCTTTTTACCTGTAAAAATTTTCTTCTTGGTAAACATTTATCCAGAGATAAAAATTTAGTTTGCTTCTGATTTCCATCTACCTCCTATCAAAATCAGAACAGTATTGATTTTTCTATATGACATAATTCTTGAAACAATTTAAATGTTTGACTTAGGCATTAAAACTTAAAAGAGTATAAAAAATAATCAGATTATAAACACATAATAAGATGATATAATGCTTGCCTGATGCTGAACAATGGCTGGGAATTTAACATGAAGATGAGCAGCGAACCAGTATTCTGGCTTTAAGTGATAAAGGAGATCTTTAGAAGCAGGACTTCCCAGTCGATCCTGCTCTACTTCCTCCCGGAAATATTGCTTCTTCTTCAGCAGCATGTTAACATTTCCAAAATTATAAATCCCTCTGGGCCAGTCATGGGACAAAAATATATCAACTGGTCTGGATATCTGAAATGAAACATAATTCATCTTTAATTGTGAACTCTGAATACCTGAATATGCAGCATAAAAATAATTTTTTTACTGAGATTTATATTAGAAAAGCATAATATACAGTAATTATTTCTCTTGTATCTTGAATCTTCTGAAAGGATTTTTGTTTTAATATATCTACAATAATGTATGGAAAACTTTCAAAATTGACTCTTTTTGAACTTCGTAATGCATTTTTCATAATTCATGATGCTTCTAGAAAATAATTGTGGATCTCCTTATTGTTATAAAAACAATGGGTAATGAACATTTGTTGCTCTACAATATTTTTATTTAACAGTAAAATTAATAAAAAAAATCAATGAGTTTCAAGATAAAATGGAAAGAAATCTTAAAGTTACATGCAAGTAATGCAAACCAGCATTTCATTACTGGTTTTTTTTTTTTGATTGTATCTAAATTTCATGTTAAAAAAAATCTGCTTAAAACAAATCACTGTCTGCCTTGACAAAATTCTCCATCAATTAACTTGAATCTAATTTAAGTACAAGTACAGCTTATGAAAATTTACACTTTTTCAATTTTGTTTGTACTGGACAAGATTCTGGAATACACAACATCTGGACTAGTAAATTTTCAGAGTAAATGTTGCCTAGAAATAAAATATTTTAAGGTCAACAGAGATTACATTCTCATAATTCTTAAACCTCAACCCAAAGCCTTTTCCTCAAACCCTCTAATTTGAAGTGAAAGGGAAAACACTACATGTGGTACTTTAATTAAGCTTTTTTTGTTTCCTATTATTATTATTATTCCCTTTTCATAGTACATGATTTCTCATTTCAAAGATTTTTACAGGAATGATGCATTGTTGTGATATCTCCAGACATTTTTTATTTTTTGAAAAATCACTTCCGGTCACATTTTTTGTCAGATTTTCTTTTTTTAAATTGCCATTTTGTCCAAGCATCTTCTTGTTAACCACTCAAGATTGAATCACGATATTTTCGGGGATGATAAAACATCTCTTTGAGTTATGCATGACGTCTTTTGATTTTGCATCCGTCACTTACGGTCGACACAGGAAGTGATATTCAATTTCAAGATTTTTTGAAAAATTCAACCGTTTTGAATAAAGGCAAATAAAACTTATGTTCACATTTACAATCGTCAGCAAAACGCATCCACTGGAATAACTTCCGGTGTAAATCGGAAGTAGTCGAAAAATGCTTTCTCTCTTGAAATAGAATAAAATGGTTTTATTTGAGTTTTTTCCAAAGTTTTTTTGTACTTGTGACTTCGATGTCAGCAGGAAATGATGCCTAAATTGTCTAAATTCATCAAATGACGTCACTTCCGGTGAAAACGGAAGTAATCAGAAAATGAAAATTTTGCGTTTTCTGACATGTTATTGGTTAATTAATGGCACTATAAGCGTCCAACCAGATTTTCAATCCCACTATATCACTTCCGGTCAAACTGGAAGTACATGTAGCCAAAAATAGCTCATTTTGTAGGTCTGACGCAAAATTGAAAACTTTTAATTTTAAAGTCCTTGGAGGAGTCTTAACTCATTGCTTTCTCTTGTTGACGTCACTTCCGTGGTAAGACTTCGTAACGAGCTTCTTTAAATTATTGTTTAAAATTGTACATGGGTGCAGCAGTGAATTATTGCTAAATCCTTACCTGTTTCAATCTAAAAACATCAAAACTTCTAACATGATACACTGTTCTCTTTGTTTCATTATCATATGGTACATGTTCAAAGTGACCTATCAAAGAAAAGAGGCATGAGAAATAATTATAAAGTACAGTAAAACTTTCTTGCCTACCCCGCTAATCTTGTATCAGTAAAAATGATCATAGAAACTGATGATCATTATAAGATGCAATTTTATTACAGATATAGTTTTGTAAGTACTTGCCTTTGTTATAATCTCTTCCCTTAAAGATTCCTGACAGTCCACCTATTCTTATTCCAGCAAACTGTATCACTCCGGCATAGCCTGATAGGTATGAAATTTAAAAGTTATCAATAACTGGTTCGGGCATTTTGAAATTTGCTGCATCAAAATATTTTAAAAAATTATAACTTATAAGCAGTTTACCATCTCTCACTTCTGACAGAGAAAATTACTATGTAAATATGTGTATTGGTATGTAGTGATACAATGAAATGTATCAATAGAATTAAAACTACTGACCATAGAAGCTGACAACAACAAATTTTGTTTCATGATAGGTACTATGAGATTGGTTATGGCAATCTACATTACTATTTTAAAGTTCAAAGTGAAACAACATACCCATATAATATATATTAGGAGCTACCCATCCACCATATGGAAGTTCTTGTAGATAGTTAGAAGCTTCGTGATTTCCTCCTATAAATACTGTCAGGTAAGGCGCTTTCTTCTCTCCTGAGTAGTACCTATCAATTGATAAATTTTCAGTCAATGCAATAAAGTAACTCATTTATATAAAATAACTTATTTACAAAAAATAATAGTGATAATGACACAATTTTCCTTACTACATTACAATTCATGTAAATGAATACATGTTTCATACTTATTCCTGTAAGAAAATATATAGGCACAATTCGACATTAGGATGATTCATGCAAGTTTTTGGTCACAAAAAGCACTTATCAGTTCCTTTTGTAAGCAAAAATTATATGAATTAGCCCAAAGTCAGGAAGATTTCAGAGTAGATTTATAAAACAACCCCAATTTTAAAAACTATATACCCTAACCCTAATGACTCGCATTTTGTTTAGCCAGTGGAAAATGACGGTTTGTTTACGTTCTGCATTGCAACGGCAAGGGAAATAAATACTCATGCACAGTCGTGTGATTATGGAGACTGGCATACTAGAAACTTCCCTTACAAATAAATTGTTCACTCACTTGTAAAATGTGTTAAGCTTTTGATAGTGCTGTGGCACTGCCATACACTGCAGATCAGATACATTCCTAACAGCCTGAAAATCCCCACATATCAAAAGCAGGTTAATCTTAATACTGTTTTTCTTTTCAATGTACTCCAGTGTTTCATAAATTTTATCAAGCTCTCCATGGCAACAGCCTTCTACTGCAATCTTCATCTCGACACTTCTTGCTGAAAGTGGACATTCCGATTAGTCAGATGTGTATAGATAATGATAAAGAATATATCTTCTTTGTATTTACTAAAAATTGTTTGAAATTACACACTCTTTCAAAGTTGGCTGCCTTGACATTATGTTGAAATTGGGAAAGTGAAAATTCGCACTTGCATCACAAATTAAAAAGTATTTAACATGTTTAACTCCCAGTCAAGTCAAAGCATTAAAAAAAATAAAATTATTGAAAATGACAAATTACCGTTCTAAGAAAGCCCTTGGTAGACACTGTTGCACATTTACAGTATCCTTAAATTAACTTAGCTCTGCTTTCAGCTTTGGCTCCATTTTCTTCTTTTAAAAATCACGCAGGAAGTGCGGGAAAAGAAGGTAAATATAAAAAGAACCGTATTCGATATATATTTCCGGATAAAGCGACTGGCCTTTGAAAATGGAATTTTTTCATGAAAGAATTATTTAAACTAAATGAATCATATATATAAAAAAAATCATTAATATTCTTTTAATTTAAATGGTACCAAACTTTTTTTTTTAATTTTGCAAAGAATGATTGAAAAAATTGAAATGGGGGTATACATGTTCAAAAGGCTGCTTTGTTAAATTTATCTATCAACCATAATAAAGTATAAGTTTTTGTTAACCTTATACATAATGCTTAATAGTTTTTAAGAAAAAAAAACAGTTTAGATTTTGAGAATAATTAAAAATAAAGATATTTTGAGATTTTTATCTGAAAGACGTGTATAGATTCAACATCAATTTGTCTTAGTTTTCCGATATAGATTTCAAAAAGATCTCTTTGTAAATAAATATTTTTGATTTTCATAAATTTTAACATAAATTTGATGTGATTTGGTTTATAGGTAAATAAAATATGATATCACACTTCTTTATGTTCAATTTTTGCTGTATGTACTCTGAGATATGTTGTATGAAAATTAACCTGCAAAGATATGTCTTTTACAGGCGTTTTAGTTAGTTTATGACTTATTCAAGATATTCAAATTTAAAAAAATGTCAGTTTGACAGAAAGTCTTGAAACCACGGACCTACCGTAACCTTGATCCTAACGTTTCAACGGTTAGCGCTAACTAGGGCTTTCATATTTTAACGAGAAATTCCTTGAGGCAGTTCCTTTCTTTGAACAGGCACCAACATTTTTGATTTTTGATCTCTTGACATTGCAATGGGAGTTTGACTTGCATTTCAGAAACTACACAAAAAGCTAGCTGCAATAGGAATAGCTGCAGAACTGTAGCTAGCTCTCCGAAAAAAAAAATATATCGATAGACCTGAGAGCTGCAGTGACACCCATTAAAAAAATTGTATATTTATTGCGCGCAAAAATTTGCCCTTGGTTCTGGATTATTTCTTCCAAATTCTTACCTCATCTGCAAAAAAAGCTAAATTAAAAAAAAAATCTTTAATTTTCCTATCAAGTACTCGGATCCCGTAGTTGACATCTGCACGAAGCGCGTTAGACCGAAATACATGTATCTTGCAAACAAATTAAAATGGCAGTATAAATAGACGAAATTTTCGATCATCTTAATTTCAATGCCAGAAGGGCTATTAAAAACAATTATAAGGAATATTTTGTGGAAACAGTGAAAGAATATGTTAGGATCACACGAGTGTTAATATTTCAATATGACAGTTTGAAAAACATGGAAAATAAATCGAGAAATAGCGCACTTTTTGTTCGCAATAAATGCACAATTTTATTTTTTCAGTGGGTGGCACTGTAGCTCTCCGGTCTGTCAATATATTTTTTTTCGGAGAGCTACAGTTCTGAAGCTATAATAGGGTGCAACATTGTTGCACAGACACATTTTTTACTATTTTTAAAGGTTATAGTTTTGTTAGTAAGACAGTCCAAGCTTTTATAAAAATATTAAGTTTTTAAATCTGATAGCTGATTCCTAGTTATTAAGATACCCAAATTGAAACATCCATTCGAAACACAAATATAAGTACACTGCTTCACACAAGTTAACAAATAAGTCAGCATATCTATTTTCCCGGTTTTTTTAACCAACCGTGAAACCCAACCAGAATAGGTGAAATTTGCTCTGTCCTGCAACCTTTTTGTGAAATCAACACTCTAAAGCTAATAAATAACTAAAATTGTCAAGTACCAATTTTTTTTTAAAATAAATTTTATTTTCTTCTTTTAGCCTTAGGATTCTCAAAAAGTGTCATTTTCTGAACCATCTTACATGTATCTATGCCCGAGGGAAAAAATGGTACCTCAATACATGTAACAAATCTCATCGTTTCGTAGCCAGGGAATGGTACCCCGTTTTTATTTTTAAGTAATAAAAGTCAAAATCATATAAAATACATTTTATTCATATATTTAATTGAAATAAATAAAAATTAAACATTTATTTTCTTTCTCTTCGAAGAAGTACTTTTTCAAGTCCCATCATAGGTGCTTCAAACGCAACAGACGCAACAAAAGCAACCAAGTTTGATATTAAAAGGTTTCCAAGAAACAGATAAATCTGAAATGAGAATCAAAGATTAACTGCATTTTTAGTGACATAACTTGGGAAAAAAATGGTAATATGGATGCTGGAAATGTTAAATTATAGAATTCCAAAAATGTAGATTACTTTGACTTACCACTGTAAAGTCTGTTAGATATATGGGAATTCTCGAAGAAAAATAATATATGTACATCAAAACTGGATGTACAAGATAAACACAGTAACCCAGTCTAGCTAGAGGTCCAAACGGGGTCCAAGAAAGTAATGTGTTCACAAAACCTCCATTATCTGTCGCACAAGCATATATGACCCAACACACGCATGCGCCCCAAACAGTTCTGTTTGTTGCATTATATAAAGCTGATACACTACTAGACATTGGGTGGTCATTCATTGCATCATGTAGTCCATATAATACTAACACAGCGAATACTGCAGCCACTGCCCAAACAATCAGGTTTAGTATCTATGTACAAAATTAAAACCAACGTCAAATTTATAAAGGGTTACTAGTCCATGCACATGTGATAAAATAATTGTTCAGTACGTTTAGTACACATGAACATGAACTTGCAACATTATTGTAGAAAAAAAAATAAAAAATAAAAAAAGAACTCTTATTAATGTTTTGATATGTATATTTTTGAAAAACTTTATAAGAATAAGTATGCATGTGTACAATTGTTTATACATGTATTTGTAAGAACACTTAAGTAGGACAACTTACTTTGTTAATCCTGACTTTGCCTTTGGTTTTAAACAATAGATATCCAAATAAAATTCCAATTATGTAAGGACCCATTCTGCACCATGGTTTGATATAATAGTCTTTGAAATAATGCAAAGTTGCATCTCTAAAATGTCAAGTAACAAATGAGCATTATTTTTTTCCTTTTTTGGAAAAGAATTTATAAAATAATTGTATCTCTTTATTTACAGTATATTGCTTTATAAATGTGATTACACACACTTTTTTCTGATCTTCTCAAAGAAGCCTCTTTAGTCTCATTGCATTACTGTATTTGCAAAAATCTAGATATAAAAGGAAAAAAAACTCACTGATTGACATTTGGCACAAAAAAGGAAGGTGGCAATTCATAATGAGCAGAAATTACTCCTGGAGCGATGGTTGTTCCTACCAAGAACACTAAACAGAGTATAATGCCGAGGAGCTCTTGACTGTTAACAAAAAAGGTAATTCATATCATTTGCAGACCTTTTTTGTACTCTTATAAAGCAGAATTAATGCCCTTTTTAGGTCATATGGAGTAAACCCGTTAATAGCAGATTACACCAGGTATTATAAAAGCTAAAACATCATGCATTTTTATTTTTAAAAATGTTTTTAAAATATAAAAAGTTAAAAACGCATGTCATTCTGTCTTTGACCTTTGATCTCAATAGAGTTTTTTTTTTCCGTTTAATTGGAATTGGGATATGATATTTCATTAAACGCAGATATACAGCTTGACGGACAAATGGACCGACAGACCTAACTTTAATTTAATTTATATTTTTAAACATTCAGTAAAAGTCAAATATCAAAAAAGTTGTAACATTTTTACTTACTAATATAAAGGTATTAGAAATAGTGGACTTAAAATAAAGAACTGCATATCATTGGCTAAGTACCACGACCATCCCATACACTATCAGAAATAAAACAAAAGCATATCATTTGAAATTAAACAAAATCCACATTGTCTTTCAAACTAACTAAAAAATGATACCATGTAAGCAAAGTGAATGAATATGAAATACATTTTTCACGTGTATCGGTATTAAAATATTTGAAAGAAAACACAATTTCTGTCATTGTACATATAATTATGTCTCCAAGGATTTACTCATTTATGTTATATTTTATGCATATTTACATGTACTCTGATATGTTCACTGCATGTAAATTTCTATATATTCCTATGTAAAACTCAGGGGGATTTTGGCCCCACAGCCGGGGGGTTGTACCTTTCACCTATGTACATGCAACCTGTATTGTTTAATATTAGGTGATCCCCCTTAATGATTTGTTTTACATTTTACTTTATGTCATTGAATTAAATGACATAATCGACAAAACTGCATATCTGTGTTTGGTTTTTTTTCACTGCACTATCAGACTGATATTTCTCATAGGAGGCATAAAAAGCATTACCGTTATTAGATCGATGTCAAATAACCATCTAAATATTGAATAATTTTCTAACACTCTCAAAAAAGTCAAATATAGTATTATTTATAGATTTTAATGAGATTAAATAATATTTAACCATTCACTTACGGATTTATCTAAATCAAAAAGATTGTTGACATATAATAAATTTTTCCACCAGCTATCTTCACAGTAATCGACCTCAAATCCTTTAGCTGGATAGAGAGGACCGTCAGACAGGTAGGGGGACAGTGTGGCTTCTGTCATCAGAATCAGCATGTATGCTGGGGTTAACCTAGAAAATACATGCCAATTTTGAAATTAGCTCTTGGTGAAAGGTTTTGTTTTGGTATTGACTTTCAATTGTTTTATTGGGGAAAAATACATTTGCTATAAAACATAAATTATTTTTTAATTTCCTATTATTCAGTGTTTATATATACATGTATAATACATGTAGCTTAAAGACAAATTAACTATTGTTGAATGAAGGATAGGTAAAAGCATTTTCTACTGATGTTTAAAAGAAGAAGATGCAAATAAGTTAATATAAAAAAAATAATTCATTTTTTTTTATGTGAAAACACAATACACAATGACATATGATCTAATTCATGCATGTGTTTCAGTTAATCTCGAAGCATTATAACAATACATAATCATTTTCTTTATGATTGATGTACATGTATTTAAAATCATTTTTTTTAATTGAACGAAATACAAGGAGAAAAAGCATGGATTTATTTAATACATTTTATCTCGTCAAAAGCTATCATATTCAGAAAGCAATTTTTTAAACAAAAATAAGTGTTATAAATCAAATTTTGTATCTTAAATCTTTAAAATATATTACTTCCTGTCTTAAAATGTATTGAAGTTTTTAAAAAATACAGGTAAATCTACGGAAGAGTTTGATTAATTAACCTATTTGCTGTTAAACAAATAAACAATGAATATTATATATTTATAATTTTATATCATTATCTCCAAGTGGGGAATAGGTGAAAGAAAACCTTACCTCCAAAAGCGATGAAAATAGAACATAGCCCAGTTCAGTTTCCCTCTCTTTTTATCCATTTCTTTCAGAGTGAGATAAGCGAGTAACAGTCCACTAAACGAAAATTAAAAGAAACATGATAAGGATGCTGTACTTTCGTTACAATCCAATAGCATAATGATAGGCAGATTTGTTGGCATTACTTATTAGAAAATGTGAAAATAAAACGTTTAAACAGTGATTATGGGGACAACGAATAGTAAGCTCAAAAGTCTAACGAAACTTCAATAATTGAGAACAGAGCAAACACGGACCTCTAAAAACACCAGAGGTTGGATCAGGTGCCATGGAGGAGAAATTCCCTGTTGACCGATCATCATAGGCAAGATAGGGCAAACGTTAACCATTAATAGATACCTGAGAGCAAAAAAAGTATCAACTGCTACCAGGGCGTTTGCTATAACCTGGAAGGTCCATCTTCGTAACATATTTTGCACGAAAGGTCCACCATTGCCTAAAGAGAATTTTATGATAAGTATTGTTGTGTATATAAGAAGGTTTACAAAAATCCATGATTTAATATAAAATTCAAGAAATAAAACTCACTTGAATTACTAAGAACGAAAGCATATGTGTGTCCCAAAACAACCCACGAAATACTTAGAAACCGAATTCCGTTTAATGCCGTGAGAGTGTCCGACGAACGTCGAGTACTCAACAGCTTTTTGCTGTTCGAGTAAAAGGAAAAGGACAAAAGAAGCTTTTCCAATGTACCTGAAATTTAAAGGATACAGCATTTCAGTTTGAAGTTATTCATATTACAAAAATGAAATTACATCAAATTTAATTTTGAATTGTCTTTTTGGAGCTTTAAAGAGATGTTATTATCATTAACGTATCCACAATCATATGCATCTTTATGTTTGGCCTTTTTTGAGAGCGGAAATTTTAGAAGGACGATGTTCATTGTCTTGATTGAAGAAATCATTATCATTACTTTAAAATTGGTTGTAGTTGTCTTGTTGATTGTGACCTACTTTCTTCCACCTTAACTTCGTTAGAGTTGTGGTTCAACAGGGGAACTTTTTCGGTGTCCGTCTGTTTTATGGCGGGGTTAACGACGGGTTCCTCCAATGGCCCTCTTTTGCGTAACCACTGGACAACAATGACATCAAAAGCAGTCGCCACAACAATAATGGCAGCAAGTAAGCTGAGTATAACACTGCAATAGAGACGGATCTTCATGCGTACTTGTTTGAAATTACTAGTATTATAAGACTACATATACATGTACTTGCTTTAAAATCTAAATTGTTGATTTTTTCCTATTTCTTTCGATTTTTCATTACAGTGAGTATATATATATACGAGGATAGCTCTTTCGATATAATTTCAATGTCCATGTATTTTTAACCATATACATTTGTGACAAAGACTAATAGAAAATTATTGTAAACCAACTATTTGAAATGCACTACAAATTCTAATTGCATGCAGTTTTAAGTTTATCTGCGACTTTTTTTTGACGGATAATTTTATTTCTGTTTAAACTCACGATGACATAATAAAAATTTACGATGAGAAATACTTATAATGGAAAAAAAGATCGTGAAACTCTCGGAAATTGGTCGCAGGCGAAAATGCTGGTCTCACAGCATTAATGAATATTAAAATTATGAATTATTCATAATGTTTAGTTACATTGCTGTTATGGCATTTGAAGTTAATGGTTTATCTTCCTCGGGCATAACAGAAAAAGGAATAGCAGAAAAGTTTCCTATTGGAATCTTTCCAATATCTAGAAAAGAAATAATTAAAAAATGCATAATTCAGTTAAAACACGATTAATTTTTGTCCTTTTAAAGAATCAAATATTTTAAATTAAGTTCCAATCACAAAAGACCTCTTAGTATTTTATTTTCTGTTTACATTATTTAAATGTAGTTTTATAACAATATTACTGTTGTGTATAATTGATGTTACGTCGCTTGTACTGCAACTGTCTGGTAGACAAACTCCAATTGACAAAGTTATAATATTTGGTCCAGCTAACTAAAACAAAAAATTAATTTGTAAAGGATATGTATATTTTAAGAATTATAAAATTCAAAATTAGATACTATTAAAGTCACAATTAAACAAGTATGAAAAGAAGAATTCCACAACTAATGTAAATTCCTACAAGCATTTTACGTCTAAGTGTTTAAATTTGGATATAGACTACAGGAAAAAGCATGAAGACATATGTATTGTATAATAATAAGTCACATGAACAAAATTTTTCTTTGTCTTCTACTTACAGGGTTATAAGTTGTCCCGATAGGTATATTAACCACGGAGTATTTGCCCTTTATATCCAGTCCAATTGTCTTGTTGTGATATTCGGTTCTTTTACACTCGTCATAAGAACCAAGCCACTTTAAACTTCCATCTAGAAAACCAGCCTCTGGTTTTCCAATGGCATCGATTACTGCAATAAATTTTATATATATGTTCAGGTAAGCTTAGTGATAGTAATTTAAATAAAAGTAAATTGCACATTGTCAAAAAATATTTAATTGATAAATGCATTTTATTAGCAATGTTATCAAGTTTATAGAGAAAAGAATGATATTATTTTTCAAATAAAAATAAATGTTAATATTTGTCCTATGTTCTATGTACATGTATATCAAGAAAAAAAATAGCATACATATATACATCTACTCGTAGATCGATTTTTTTTATATAAATAAAGTAGTAGAAGAGAAAGTAAAAAGATTACTTTGGAGCGCCCATGTTTGGCGCAGTAGGAGACCAAGCTGCAAAACCTCTATACTAAGACTGCACTGTTCGCTCACATTGTACTGCACTGCCTCGTTCCCATCTCCAAAAAGCAGGTATGTCGGTAAATCCTTTATGTCACCAAGTACATTTATATTCCTTTCCTCGTACTTTTTGTTATCAGCAGACTGCACTAAATTGACGGCATCCCCTATAACATTGTAGTAAGGTCTGTTTTGTAGAGCCACTGACAAAGAAATGGTTATAGAGAGGACAACAGTAAGATGGATAACTGTAAACATGACTGAGATTCCTCAATACGACTAGATCCGTTTTGAAGTATTACACTTTTATCTTCCAGTTTATATTCATGGATCATCAGGGTGAATAGAGATGATATAAGCATATGTGGACTAAACGTCTGACGTCACTATGACATTTTGTGTCCTTCAGGTATCATTTTGTAATACTCAAGAATATTACGACGCATATCTATATATATTTCATAACCATATGATTAGTGCTTTAAAAGAATTAGTGCACTGTTTAAATAAAATCTAAAATATTGCAATATATTGTTAAATGAAAGAAAATTTTCATTTCTTTTAATCTGAAAAGTTGTTTGTTCTGGAAGGAAAAACAATAGTAATAGAGTGTTGACGATGATTTTATTTTTATTGAATCATTGATGGTGTATGGGGTGCATGATCGGGTAAAGGTAGGTTATTATCAGAGAACAAACAATGGGTTACAGCTTATTCTCATGAAACCGATATTTATATTGACTTATAGGGTCAGAGATCCAGATTTTAACTTTAGTTTACGAAGGAGTGGAGTAGTATATTTATATACCGTATACTAGTTACGCATAAGTTTATCATTTTTAAAATTTGTTTTTTATTAAGCATAAGTTTTATTAAGAAGAAGATAATGATAATTTTGAACATTTTTCAATTGTATGAATTTGTTTGCAGAGAATAAACAATTCTATTAATTGTCATGAATCATGCATGCGATTTTTAATCCATCACAGATATTGGAATATTGATGTACTTTAAGATAAAAAATTACAAATCAATTATCGACTGATATTTAGGAACGATATGGTTTGCCGGACCCCAGACCAAAAGATGAAACATATGGAGATAACGAACAATATTCAAGATCAAAAGTCCATAAAAATACAAAATAGGAGCAGAGCAAACACGGCCCTCCAAAACATCGGAGGTGGGATCATGTGCCATGGAGGAGTGAGCATCCCCTGCCGACCGGTCATATCCGCCGTGTGCTCCTTGACATGATTTGGAAATGACGGAAAAATCCGTCTATTCAGTGTATAAATAATGGACTAACAATTAGTATGAAAAATGTCAGTCAGCATTTGACTCAATGATAAATTGTATTTGCTGACAAGGTCATTGTATCGACCATAGAAATTACGAAATGATGACTTTAAACGAGACTGCTTAAATTCTTGTTTCATCAACTTGTTTGTCAATAATTTACCTCGTTTTTGAAATTGTTCATACATAGAGCATGCTCTTGCGTATCAAATCAACTGAGGTATATAAACTCCGTATACAGGTGATAAAGGTATATTGCTGCATTAGTAAGGGAAGTTGACGATAGGAAAGTTAAAGTCATCACGTTTATCATAGAGCTTGGTTGTTAGATTACCATTAACGTTTCTTTCAAATAAAAAATCCATATATGGAACAGATGAATGTTCCGAATCTGTGGTATCTTTTATCTCAAGCTCTCCATGATATATCGTATCGACATGAGAATGGAAATTACCGTTGTTATTTGACAATACGTCATCAATATATCTAAATGTCAAACTGAAGCCCACAGCAAGTGTTTTCTTCTTTTCACGCATAAGATTTTGCACGAATTCTGCTTCATAGGAATACAAAAATAGATCTGCTAATAACGGGACGCAATTGGTACCCGTAGGAATTCCGATAGTTTATATTGTTGGAAGACATCTTTTTGATGTCGACTTCAGAAAACCACAATCAGATATGTTTTAACAAAATAATTCTGCAAATGACAAGGTAATAAACTAAAAATCTTTTTAGTGATTTCAAATTGATATCCAAAAGCCTTCTTTTTATCTTGATTGTATATAAAGTTGAAAAATCGTAAGCTGTTAACTTTGGTAAAATCTTGTGATTTCAAATTGTCCAAAAGTTCCTTGGATTTTTTAAGTATCCACAACTCATTTACGTCACTTCTTGAATATATTGTTGCACAGTACTCTAGAAGTTTCCCTTCACTACTGTTAATATTTTAGTGAGGAGTAAAGAAAGAGGCTTGGTTGAACATTTACTGGAACCCGCTATGTATCTTTGTTTGTAAGGATCTTTATGAAGTTTTGGAATCCAATACATTTATATATATATATGGTACATGTAGTTCAAATTCATTTTCGTACTTTGGGATATTAAAAATGTTCAAAACTGACATAAGATTTTAAAGAATTTCTTCCTTAGAAAGGGAACTTTGAATATGAGTTGGATTATCACTTGTAGAATTAAATCCAAGTTCTTCTATTATACAATTTATACAATGAGCCTCACAAAGACAACGTTGATACCTGCTTCGTCATAAAAAAGTCTGATAAGATAAGCAAATGAATAATTTTTTGTTCAAATATCCTTCTTTTTATTTATTTTATTGAATTTAAAGGAATATAACTCTTCAAGGATTGTTGTCTAACAGTTGGATGAGTTATGTCTTTATTACTAAGAAGCCGTAGCATTTTTTTTTTCGAGTCTCTTGACAAAAAAATATTAAAAATATTCAAATATGATTTCTTATATTTGTATTAACATAATTATGAAACAGGCAAATATGCCAGATAATGAGAATTCTTTTATTTTAATTTATAAATTATGAGCTTTAACAAACATTTTTATGCAGGATTTTATTTTAATTTATAATCCCAGTATATTTAATTTTTTTTGGAAGAGGAGGTGAATAGATTTATTTTACACAGTGAAAATATCTTCAAATGGCCTTTGCGTGACCCGCAAATTATACACAATGACGAATTTATTAAATTATCTATCGATCAGAGACATGTAATCCAATACTTTTTAAAACAACATCAAGTATTATTATTAAAGTTGTCATTATCTCTAGTAACTAGTAAAGAACATCTTATCAGATATATCTCCGCTAATGTTATCTCAAAATTAGAAAACGTGTTTTTCATAAGGTAGAATTTAACAAACAGTTTTGATAGAATCAAAAAGTGGAATGTTCTTTTGTTTTATCATATTATATTTAAAGTAAAATCTACGGAAATCTCTATAAAATGCCTTACATTTACATGCAATTTGATTAAATGTTTTTTATTTTTTGGAAAAACTGCAATACTAGTAATTCTGTTTCTGAATTGACCAAAAAGTAATTTATAAGATTACAGTTATGTAAAATTTTACTGCATTTGATAATTATAATTATACATCGATCATGTTTTATTTCAAGTGTATTGTAAAATTCCTTATTTTTCAGCAAGCATCGTGCAGGTTTGTCGAATGTAAATAGGTTCCTAAAAATGTAACTATATAAAACATATTATTTAACAAATACCCGAACCATCATCTATTTCACCTGTCAGCCACTAAGGGGAGGAGAGTCGCGGGTTTTGTCTATTTCTCAAAGAGAGCAGCGTGCTTGAACGACGCAGATGAATGCTGCAAAACGTCGGCCGACCTGAACATTTGGACAATGTTTATATATTATGTGTACATACATAAAGGCTTCACTGAGTTTGTCAATAGCGTGTAGATCAACTACACAGATAGGCACTTCAGAAGTCTGACAGTTGGATAAAGTGTCAGGAAACCAATTTATGTGATTATCCATAATATTACTATGTGCAATTAGAGGTATGTATAATATATTTTTTTAGTTCTGCGTACTTTCTGTAAAAACTTCAAACAAATGCAAAAGATCGGTGTCTTTTTTTTCGATTATTAAGATTAAAGATTTCTGCAAACAGAAGTGTTTTTCAAAAAGGCAGTTTTAAGGGATTTTTTCTGATAATTCGAATAGACAACCTGACTGTTTGTCTAAGAAATTAAAGTAGAATTCTTACTTAGTCGACAAATGATATTGGGGAGCAAGCAAAAAATTGTTATTTGGGAGAGGGTTTGCAATAGACATGGTTAGTAGAGCTTATTCATAAATATTCATGTATTACATTGTATATAAGAATGATTGATTGATAGTAGGATGTTGTGCTTCCCATTCGAGAATTTTTCACTCATGAGGAGAATTTACCTTATATCAATCGGGTGAAGGGCTTCAAATTTAGACCTCTACTCGGCACTGGGGGGTCACTGAGCAGTGAAGGTTCTTTTAATCATGCCAACGCCTATCGTGACACGCGTATGAGACCTTGATAAATATATACAAGGTCTAATTTGAGAGGCCTGTGAGTTTCAAATCGCTTTTGCGAAGGTACAATCGCTGCTTACATTTGTAGTATTACATGTGCAGAAGATATGATCTGGAGGTACATTGTACCTTCCGTTCAAAGACATGTAATACTACAAGTATATATATTAAGATTTAAATTGATATGTAGTCATAATTAAATTTTAGTTTTAAACATTCTTTAAAACGAGGTGTATTCCTAATTAATAAACGCATGCATAATTATGTAATTTTATTAATAATAGTGGGGATAACGATATAACAAAAATATTCTAGTAACAAATCATAAAGCTACGTATATTTTGATATCTCTGAACCTGGAACAGGTCTCTTTTTAGCAACATCATGACATTTAGTATATCTTTATTATTTGATTTCGACAAGAAGGGAAGTCTCTGGTGACAATTTAAAACTCAATTACTCCCTGACATTTAACAAGGTTGGTTTAACAATTAAAGAATGTCAGATATCAAGTATAACCCCCGTGTCATGGTTTACTTTTTTTGACCGCCAACCAAATCTGTATAGACTTAGAGTCTGTAATATCATAAAGTTAATATATGTGTGTTTGTTCAACATTGATATCGGAAGCCGTCAAAATGTTTATAGTACTTACTTGTTTTGCTTTTACTAAGGGAGATGTTTGCTGTTTAGACAGGAAAGAGGGGTGAAAAGAGTTCAGTTGCTTCCATTCAATAGAATTGCCTTCTTTTTTTCTAACTTGTTAGATTCTTTGGCACATATCTTTAATGACTAGTTAATTAAAATTGAGCTCGAAAATCATTTTTAAAACTTAATCAGAGAATAGGTTCATCTAATATCGTATCAGAAATATATATCGATATTATCAGCTAAGTAAACGATTTCAGAATTTCTAAAGAAGGTCTGATGTT